AAAAATAAAGAAATAAAACAGAAAAACTCAGGCTAGGGCTCTGTTCTGACGGCAACGGATGATTGTGGGTGTGTAGGCGGTGTTCGCCAGCTGGATCCCAGAGATCACGGAGCTCGCCGCGAACCGCTGCAAGTACGGTGGCCAGTACAAGCGCGAGCGTGGACGCAGGTATCCCAGATATCCACCTACGTGGAAGCCAGCCAAAAAGACACCCCTTGAAACTAGTCCCTGAACTGTTATCCTTGTAGTCACATAGTTGCGAGGAGGAGCGAATACCATCTGGATAGCAAAGTGACTCCTTTCGTTCCGTTCGTTTTTTTTCTTTTAATTTTTTTTTTTTTAATTTTTTTCTAGTCTCAGCACCGTCCACGATCGAGACGACAGCGTTTTTTTTTTTTTTCTTTCCGCCCCCCTTCGCCGATCGTTTTCGAGCGATTTTTCAAAGCTCTCTCTCCCCGAGAGTCGAAATTTTGAATCCCTTCGCGACGAGTTTTTCGTCCAATTTGATTCTGATTTATTCTGACTTAAGAGTAATCTTTTTTGACGATCGAGATGTATTTTCTTCCCGCCCTCTCAACATTTGTGTGTTCTCGATCGACGAGAAACGCGAGTTTATATTTTGCATTTTTTTTTTTTTCTTTTACGTTTTTCTTCTCCTCTGAGACATAAACGGAATCGCAACTGCTATCCAGAGTAATTTTTTAACTAGCGTAAATAACCGCCCCCCCCGCCCCTCTCACCTTCACTATAACCCCGGTCCGTAACTGTTAGAAAACATATTGGCATCCCGAATTTTTCTGAGACCACTTAAAGTGAGCCCAATTTTTTAAAGAGAAACCTGTTTCTTTCACCGTTTATTTAACGTAACCTTGTGCTGACTCTCACCGCTTTTCTTACCCACCTATTTACCAAATTAGCAAATATATCTTGGTAACACGTGCTGGTATGCTTGGACTTTTGTAAAAAGAGAAATACACACACGAGTTCTTTCTTTCTTTCTTTCTTTCTTTTTTTTTTTTTAATTTATTGTTCTCTATATACACACATGTTTATATACACTTATATAAGTAGATGAGATCAATATATATTACTGTTGCATCTCTCTTTCTCTCTCTTTCTCTCTTTCTCTCTCTCTTTCTCTCTCTCTCTCTCTCTCTCTCTCTCTATTTCTTTCTCTTTCTTTATCTCTCTATATATACATTTGTTATACATATATACATATATATATACATGGTAATATGTATACGACTGTCTCACCGCACGGATTCGAGATTCTGTAGTTTTGCATTTACATTTATTCTCTGTTCCTTTTTCCACCAATCGTCGGCGAGTTTGTTTCTTTTTTCTTTTTTTCCTTCTTCAACACCGTCACCGAACATATTCTTTTCGTTACGTTCGTTTCTTTTTTTTCTTTTTCTTTCTTTCTTTCTTTCTTTCTTTCGTCCCTTTTCACTTTTGTTTCTTCACGTCGGATCGGGCAGCCGTTCAGCTTTATAATGCGCACCACAGGATAGATCGCGTCGATCGCTCGAAACGTTGATTTCCGCGCATAAGTAAAGATGTTTCTCTCGAAACGACTTGGTTCTCGTTTCAACAAATTTCGCTCTCTTTTCGTTTTTTCGCTATATACATACACATGTACTCTGTACTATATCATACAATGGATTGAAAATTTCCAGCACGTATTGCGCCGTTTTGTTTCGTATAACATACCGCACGTGGTAACGTACGCATACGTCGATCACTCTTTGATATTGACTGAGAAATAGAAAAAAATTAGCTGGAGTGATTTTTTTAAAAATACAATATAGCTTACGTTTGATCGGGCTATCGATTTTGTCATCGTTATAAATAACAAGGCGGTTATTCGAATCCGTTTCCACAACCGAGATCGATATTTTCAGCGGCGCGCCAACAAGAACCAGGTCATTCAAGCATTAGTATAATACGTATCGTTCCCTTTTTCCATTCTTTCCTTTTCTTTTTCCTTTTTTTTTTCTTTTTTTTATTTTTGCTTTAATTCACTTCATTTTCATTTCTGTACCGATCAGATCTCGCGATTTATCGTTGTTTATCGATCGAATCGCGATATTGTCGCAATCGTCACGCACCTCTCAGTCTTTTGATTTCGTCGTCAGAGGTCTTGTGGAGGAGCTAGTGCGAAGAATTACTAATTTCGACACAGGTCGGTCGACCAGTCTTTCAAACTTGCGTTCGGGAACACAGTCGAAGTTAGCCCCTCGTTTGGTTAAATAATTTTCTCACCAAGCAGGCAGGTTATTTATCACGATTACTTTGTACCTTTTGTATGATAGTTCGGTATGGTCGTTTCGATCTTTGTTGAATGTACATTGTTCGAGTTTGGTTGTACTCTTTGGTCGAAGGTGAAGTGAATGGAAATTGTCAAATCCACTGTACATATCCGATATATATAATCATATATGTATATATATAATTATCTTATATATATGTATGTATATATATATATATAAGATGATCGTTTTCTTTTCCTTTCAATTAGGAGAAGCTGTAGATACTTTCTAAGCAAAAGGTAGAGAAAATTGGTGAAGAGATATGCTGTACGAATCGAACCGTGTTTTTTTCCACTGTGTTCTTTTAATGTGCGAAACTTACAGACACATGTGAATTTGTTAATACACGTATCAAGATGATCGTGCAACTAATATACCAAGAAAATTACACGCGAATGTATATATCCATTCTTGTTACGTTTGATATTTTCTACATAAAACGACGTACAATGTGTTTTCTTTTACTTTGTGCTTCTGTTATCATTTTTTTTCTCTTTTTTTTTATTTATCATTATTGAAATCCTTTCAGCCTTGATAGAATCGTTTCAATCGAGCGAAAAATCAGCAAAATTATCCCAATTATGCATTTCGACTAATTTCAATGAATCGAGGATTAGTAGAACGATGGAGAATTCGAAGGTTACTCTACTCATCGTACTCCCAGCGCTAAGAACATTTTTATATACATTTCGGTGCACTCCACACTCTGTCTTTCACAATTCCGTATACTGCTGATCGACTCTCGGTCTACCAATGTTCTCCATCATCACTTAGAAACGTGTTACATGCTGTCTCGATGCTCTGGTTTACTTCGAACCTACCGAAAGCAGTGCACTACGTTACCGACATCGGCTGTGACGATCTTTGTGCCGATTTATCGACAGGAAACCTGAGTAGCTTGGGTGTTTTTTTTTTGACTCTACCGATACCGCTTAAACCGGTTTTTAGTGCCACGGGCTATTTAATTAAAATTGAAAAACGTAAATAAATGTTCAATTAAAATTAAAAGATTGAAAACCGTGTTAGTTAAGGGAGGCAGGACAGTGTGACGGGGCCAAAAAAATTACATTTTGGAGGGCTAATAAAAGAAAAATTACATGTTTGATTGACATAAGCTTTCGTGATTTATTTCAACGCATTGTGAACTGTAGAAAGCAACATTGAAAGAGAAAAAAAGAGGGTTCTTGTTTAACTTTTTGACGGTATTCTTTTGCATAACTTTTTTTTACATTGCCTATCGGTGTGCATGATTCCAGCCAAACAAGGATTAGTTGCAACAAAAAGGCGAGAAAAGTCCGAAAGTAAACAATATTCTCTAGCGATTGACGATCCAACATTTTGATTTTTGTGAAAATTATGAAAACAGCAGCTATTTGTTTGTCGATGTGTCGAATTTATGCCAAAAATTTTTACGTTTTTTGTTTATATTTTTTGGAAATTGTTAAAAATTGAAAAATGTTCGATCGTTATATTTTTTGGAAATTGTTAAAAATTGAAAAACGTTCGATCTATATTAAATGTTACACTAAACGTACCAAGTTTCACAGTAATCGGTTGGTTAGATTTTCGAGATATCTTGCACACCGTTTCTAAAAACCTAGTTTCGAAAAAAAAAAAAACGCGTTTAAAGTTTCGGAACGTCTTTTTTCACTTATATATCGCAGTTCTTACATAATTCACAACTAAATCGAATCCAAGTCCCCTAATATTCGATTCGCCAAAAGTAATATTCGAATCACACGATTTACACTTTATAGCACTGCTTAAAATTGTAAACACAGTGATACAAATTCAATGATTCTGTATCCGTGGATTTATTATTATCCCCTAAAACAAGTCGTTTTAAAGGCTGGGACCTTTTGTCTTATCTTATTTCTAAGACTTTAGACTACTACTTAAAAAGAAAAAGAAAAAAATCGATTTTTTGAAAAGTTCACACTGTCCTGACCGCTTAATAGCGCCATGCGGCGCGATCGCGCTTCCTTATTACAGGGTGGATCGAAAATCACTTTCTACCGATTGTAAGATATTTTTTGTTAATTTAAAATTCATACAATCACACTTTTCTCTTATATCTTTTTATTAAAAAAAAAAAAAAAAAAAGAAAAAAAGAAAATAGATGGGAAGAAACGTTTGACCCACCCTGTATTTATCTGTAAATAAAAGCAGACAAAGTAAAAATTGCCCATTTTATCCACCGATCGAAGTGATTTGAGGCTTAATTAGGAGGAAACTCTTCGATGATACGATCAAAACGTAGTCGCGCTACTCGACATCTCATTCGAGTATCTGAAGAGCGCGATCGCGCTGCGTGGCACTAAAACGGTCAACGGGCCGGTATTCGTATCAGTTCTTAGGCTATCTCTTGGCAAACTATCGATGATACCAGCGACAGGCATAGTCAAACGACGACGTTGTAAGACGAATTGTGCCGACAGTCAACTTTGACGTTGCTGTGTCAATGACGTGGATCGAAAGAGGGAAACAATATATATATATATATATATGTACGTTCTCTTCCGTACGAAAAATCTAGAAAAAAAAATAAATAAATAAATAAACGAAGAAGAAAGAAATTGAAAGAGATTCATCTCGATTAAAGAGTTCGCCTCCGAACTGACACGCGGAATGTAATCTCGATCACGTCTAGTCCCGATTGTCCGAGAGATGGGAACGATCTCTCTTCTTTCGCATCGATCGGCGCTCCAGTTCCGATACTAGGCGGGACGTTACAACCGATTTCGACTCGTGTGTCGTGTTGTCAAGTCGAAATTGAAATGCCATATATATATATATATATATATATATTCGAGGTAGCAGTTTCGGAAGAACGACGAAACTCTGGCGATCGGTAGAAAAGTAGGAATAGCGATGGAGGAATCGTGAAGCAGCGGGTTGCGAATGTCGCTGATACTTTTCGATGTGATAACCGAGCCACGGATAGGACGTGGCATGATAGGGTCGACCAACGTCCACGGTACGGATGAAAAGAAAAAAAAAAAAAAGAAAAAGGAAAAAGGGAAAAGGGAAAAGGGAAAAGGGAAAGAAACAGGTTACAGTCAAAGTAGGAGGAAAATTGTTGTCGTAAAAATTTCCGTGGCAGATTCCTGAAGGGGACAGGAAAATGCCAAAAGTATCAGCGACTCGTGGGCTGAATTTTTGTTTTCTCTCTTTCTCTCTCTCTCTCTCTCTTTCTCTATCTATTTCTATCTCTCTCTCTCTCTCTACTCTATCCCTCTCTATTCACGAACCGAGTTTCTTGGTGGCATGCGTTAGTGCTCTTGGCTAGCCTGTAGAATTTCTAAAGGGTGAAGAAAAACCCGTCGCGGAATGGCCTGTTAGAAGAAGGAACGGTTTTTTCTCTCTCTCTCTCTCTCTTTCTCTCTCTCTCTCTCTTTCTCTTTCACTCGACGCACGAGCGAAAAAGGAGAAGCCTCACATCGTCGGATCGAGACACGATTTTCTCTGGCTTGACATATAAGATATATATATATATATATATATATATATATATGTATATGTATATGTATATGTATACTTGGCACTTATAAATTAGAACGCAGCAGTAGAAGGGGGTGCAGGCGTGTAGGCACATGCGGCTGCTCTTTTCTTAGGGATATATTTTATCAGTAGAAATTGCACGTATATAATTGCGAGAATATACACACACACACACACACACACACACGCACACGTATTCACACGCGCGCGCGCGCGCGCGCACGCACACACATACACACGTACACACGCGCGTACACAACGCTTACCTTTCGGCGTCGAACGGGCCTAACCGGCGGAGAAGGCGTACGTACGCGAATATATTAGTCAGAATACCGAATTACCGAGTTTTAGTGTTACCGCTTATTCGTGTACGCATGGTAATAAGAGTAGAACAAGTAACCAAGCATGGTCGATCGTTTTGATCCTTTGATCACTCGTTTAACGTATTAAGTTTAGAAGCTATTCGAGTATATCGAGTACACGGTCCGACGTTACTTACGTTTCGTTTTTCTTTTCTCTTTTTTTTTTTCTTCTTTTTTTCTGCAATCTCTTCGCCGTCACCTTTCGTCCAGTTGACTCGATAGTAGACGTGCGTCACGGTGTATGCGTCACATACATACATACACGTGCATACGTTTATCGGTACGCGAACGATGAATGCCTCTCGGGGAAGTTGACGAGGACTTCTTCTCGTTCGCGTAGGATCGAGCTGGAATCCTTGATCCTCGACTTTCGAGACGTTGTTGAAACGCCGCGCTAATAAAAATGTAATAAATAAAAAAAAAAGGAAGGAAATGATTATTCGAAGAAATGAAAGATTCAATGAGGAAATGATGAACAGCCTTCCCGTCGTTTCCCCGTGGAACGCTTACTCATTTCATCCTACTTCGTTGTTCAGGCACATAGATAGCCTCTAGTTTCAGCCACATCGAAAGATCTATCTCCCTTTCTCTCTCTCTCTCTCTCTCTCTCTCTCTCTCTCTATCTATCTATCTATCTATCTATCTATCTATCTATCTCACTTTCTTTCTCTCTCTTTCTACCACATGCATATGCATACGCATATACGCATATGCGTATATGACGTGTATGTGTGTGCAGTCTCATATACGAACACACAGGGGAAACACACTCGTAGCAGCCATTTCAAGAATTTTCTCTTAAAAATACAAAAAATAAAAAAAAGGGATGCAAGGTACAAGAGAGAATTACCAAAGGAGAAAGTTCACCAATTGATCATCGCGCTCACACTTTACATGTGTATATGCATATACATATTCTTTCTTCCTTTCTTTTCGTTTCTTTCCTTTTCATTTCTCGTTTTCCTTTTCGTTACTTTTGTTCTTCGCACAAGTGTATACGGTGTGAACCTCGTGACGTGACGACGTCAAATAATCCGCGAAGTATTTGTTGTACGAAAAAATGTTTCAGATAGAAATTGCATGGGGCTTCCATGGGGGACATGCAGTACTGTAATCAGTTTTATGTTATTCTGCTTATTTATGAAGATACGAACGTCACCTTCAATTTTTTTCAAATGGAATAGTTAATAGTTTCTTCCCGAATTCGGATAAAACGTGGAATTCTATATAAAAGTTTTGTGTTATTTAGTTAATATTTAATAGTTAATATTAGGAATAATTAATATGATAGTGAATATTAGGAATAGTTAATATAATAGTTAATAATATTAGGAATAGTTAATATAATAGTTAATAGTTAATAGTTACTGAGATATTAGCAAAAATATCTTTTTACATTGTATTAGAAAAGAATGTTAATCTCAGTAACTATGTATTTTAGATCCTATTTGGTGTAATACTTTTTTACGTAGAATTCAATACTTTATCCGAATCCGGGAAGAAATATTAACTATTCCTAATATTAACTATTATATTAACTATTAACTATTAACTATTATATTAACTATTAACTATTATATTAACTATTAACTATTATATTAACTATTAACTATTATATTAACTATTAAATATTAACTAAATAACATAAAACTTTTTTACGTAGAATTCAACGCTTTATCCGAATTCGGCAAGAAATATTAACTATTCCATTTAAGAAATTGAAGTAACCTTTGTATCTTGATAAAAAAGCAAAATAACATAAAACTGATTGCAATACTATATGTTCCCCATGGAAGCCATGCAACTTGTATCTGAAACATTTTTTTCGTATAAATATACGTACGAAAAATATTAATATAAAATAATTATATATATTATATAACAATATAATTATATATATTAATATATATTAATTATTAATGCAAATATATATATATATAAAATATGTACACAACAAATATTTTATGAGTTACTTGAATGTCGTCACGTTACGAGATTCACCCTGTATATTTACATTTGCGTACGAACGTACACCGACGTAAATTTTATACGCGCGTGTACGTCGTGCGCGGATATGATTTATTCACACACGAGACATGCATCACCGAGCGGAAGGAAAGCGGAAAAGAGACAACATATACACGCATAGATCGACACTAGCCCATGTCCCAAGAAACACTTCTTCTCTCGATTATTTCGTTTTCTGATCGATAATAGGATCTATACAGCAATACTTTGCGATGTATTATATACGCGATTACGCTCACAGACTTCGTTGCCGCAGACGCACGCTTCTTTTTCTTGGTAATTAGCCGTTCGAGATCGATCGTCTATTGGCCTGTTCCATTCGGTCGACACAGCCTTAATTAGCGGTTCTCAAGTGCGAACGTGTGTCACAGAGTGAAGGGCAAAACCGAACACGTGTACGTGTACGTGGATTTCTTTTTTTTTCTTTTTTTTCTTCGACGCGTTAATAATATTTCATCGGGTAAGATACAGAAAGGGAAGAAAAAAAGAAAATTTGCAACAAATGTTACAACATCGTTTGTCTTCGATCGATTTCGCGCTACGATTAATTTAAAGAGAAGAACTGTCAGTACAATGTTGAACTGTGTTGTAAAAGATCAAGACAATTTGCTTGATCTCATTTTAAAACGTGAGACTTCTATCACTCACTACTTTGAATTTGTTTTTTTTTTTTTTTTTTTCTAAATAGAAAAGTGTTCTTTTCTTCATTTACGATTAAATCACGGTCTTGAAGATTCATGTTTCTCATTTTTTTGCAGCAACTCCTTGAAACTTGCTGCGCGATTTTTCTTCGTCGTTTCATTGAACATCAGAGTTAAATTGAAAAAATCCCAGCGTTTCGTCATCGAAACCTTAGTGTTCAAAGTTTAATAAAATTGCACAAAAAGAAGAAAGAAGATTTCAAGGATCGTTGTAAAGAGAAATTCTCAATTTTCAAAACCACGATGAATCGAATTGCGACAGGAATGCTTGAGTTTTTATAAATTTTGAGAATAAAAGCACTTTCTCACCCGAATATTTACGCGAAGTCATAGGACAGTCAGAGTGAAAGCTCTTTACTTTAAATGAGATCAAGCGGATTCTTACTTATGACTTTTCTCTTACGAAGTTGTAACAGCTTAAACTATCGATAATTTTTCATCGTTGCGTGTTCAGTTATGCTGCTTACCAATGCATGTTCACAATGTGAACAATGTGAGTCTTGTGCCAATTTTGCTACGAGATGTGACCCACTGCTTTTACCAAATTTACCAAAAAAAAAAAAAAGAAAAATTGTACAAAAATTCTGAAATTTCTCTTAATGATGCACTTACGACACATTGATTGAGAACTGCTACTTTACACGGCTGACGTAGAAAAGATACGAATATTTACGCGAATATTATTCGCTAATTGTTGCGTGTAAGTTACGGCGTAGTGAAAGGTTTAAGCCAAGATCGAGATAATTTTCAAAACTCTATGATAAAAGAGATAGCTGCTGACTGTTGAATTTATATACGTGTATAAACATATACTTATATACATTATATACGTATAAACAATTACAATATATACAATTATATATTAATATATAATTATATACATATATACCTGCTCATTAAAAAATAGTGTATATCTTTATTTCAAAATATTCAACGTCAACTATCCAAACTCTTTGTAATATCATTCGTTTATTAACATCATTATCAGTTCAAATTTGGAAAGTAAACACAATAATCTCGCCTTTGGCTCAAGCAGCCTTTCACCCGTTTCAACGCGATTGAAATTTAAATTTACTCTGCGAATCTTCAAAAGAGGCCCATCGACGATTTCTTTCTTTCTTTTTTTTCTTTCTTTTTTTTTTTTTTTTTTATATTGCACACAAAGAGAAGAAAAGACAAGAGACAAATCGTAGAGTTACAGGACGTGCACTTGCTTCGATAATCGTCGCAATAACGGGTCGTCTCATGTTCGAAGTAGACACATGCGTCGAGAACATCCGTAGAAATCGCTTCGAGAAGAGGAAGAAAGAGAATCGCATTAACGTTGCGATAATTGCGTAGCGCGGCGCTAAGGTGTTACTAGTGGGAGAAAAAAAAAGAAAAAAAGAACCAACCACGTTTACTTTTTGCTGTTTCGTGCTGTTTCTAAATGCTACGTCGATTGCGTTAATACGGACGAGTGATGAACACTGATCAAACGCTGAACATCACTCGCTAACTGCTCTCCAAATCACCGAATCAGGATAGACGCATCCAGATTTCTTTCATTCTTTTTTTTTTCTCTCTCTCTCTCTCTCTCTCTCAATCGTGCGGCAACGATACACATGCGTCTTTCGATCTCACGAGGCCAACGACGTTGCAAACGATTTCGATATATGTATATACATATGTCGAGTCACGTATCAGTGACAACGTACCCTCGTCAATTTAAGAATTTATATCTTCTGTCGTAAACTCCGTTTCGGTAAAACGGCTTTGTTCGATGTACATACATTGTTTCGGTGTCACGGTTGCAACCAGGGGGTTGCTGTACTCTTTCCTTAGTTGCAGAGCAAAAAAAAAAAAAAAGAAAAAAAGAAAAATAGTAAAGATTTATACCCGAAAAAAAGAAAAGAAAAGAATGTTCTCTCAAAGCTTTCTCGATCCGTTCGTCGACGTTCATACGGTATCCACCGAGAGGTAGAAGCGATTATTTTTCGTTGCGGGAAAAAGCCAGATAAACGAAATGTATAACTGTCGAGAAAAACAAAAAAAAAGAAAAAAAAAAGAAAAAAGAAAAGAGAAATCCTGCTGTATCGAGGAGTTCGCGCAAAATTCAATGAATACATACGACCTACCTGCCAATGGACTAGGTAGACGTGTCGGCACGTGTAGTTATCGTTAGGCCTAGGTGTAGGAGTGTAGGACCTAGGTGTAGGTAGCCTACCTACCCCGCCCTTTATTTGGAACGTGTTCGTTTCCATGTTATTTATTAACTATTTGGGCCGTGGCACGCATAGCGGTACAGCACTGTTAATCGTGTCTCTATGAGTGGCCGCGTAGCCCGGTAGCTCAGCCAAAACTTACTATTCCGTTCATAAGTGCAAATTTCCTCCCCCTCGCCAGCTCAGAAAAAGAAAGAAAAAAAAAAAAAAATACACCCAACTTGAACAAAAAGAAAAAA